AGGCGCTGCCTTGCTTACATAGCGTAGCGGCGTCATATGTTATTTATATAATTTTATTGATTTAAATATATACCTGTTAATTAAAACGATTCTTAACTATAAATAGCTCTTTTCATGTGTTGTATTGTGAGATGAGTATTTTTTGTTTAAATTATTTTATCGTGTTCATTCGTTTTTAGTATCACATATTACTGAAATTGGACCAAGTATATACAGGTGTCATACAGGTTATGCAGGTACAAAATCTTGAGTGAGATTGATAAAACGAAGTGCACCCCTGCCGCGAGGCCGTGTCACTCACCGGGCATGCGTGAGAACCTATTGTACCTACCAACTGCTAAGTCAGACAGTTAACTTTGTACCTGATTAAAAAGTTATTTAAACAATAGTTTTATTTATATTAACAAAATATAAACAATATAAATAAATAAATATATTGGGACATTAACATACAGCGCCATCTAGTTCCATAGTAAGCTACGCGGCTTGTGTTATGGATACCAGATAGTTGATACACTACACATATAGAATTTTTAAATACATACATATTATAAATATAAACACCCATGACTGGGGTACAAACATTCGTGCTTGTCACACAAATGAATGCGCCCAGAGGGACTCGAACCCGCGACCGCTAGCACGGTCACTACAAACTGAGCCAAACTATTTATGCTAAAAAATGTCCAGTATAAAATTTCGAATTAAGTTATGAGTATTTGTACATAAAATAGTTAAAGACATATTTATACCTTTACCTAATGTAATTTAAAGTAAAGCAACTTTAATCTTTAAATCGGTTGACCGCAAGACGTGAATGACCCAACTACACATGAGTGAGTCAAATGAATCACGATACTAATTCACCTTGCATGTTGTTTTCATTAATTTTACTTATAATTAAAAGAACTTTGAAAAAGAAATTGTAATCGTGGAATGCGAGAAAAAATAGAGTCTGTTTGTAATGTCAAAATAACACTTTTTACTAAATGCATATGGAATTATATACGGTACCTACTTATAAGAAAAACACAATTTTTAAAACTTTTGTTTTTCTGTCTATTTGTTCCGGCTAATCTCCGATAAAACTGGACCGATTTCGACGGGACTTTCACTGGCATAGTATATCTGATGTTATAACGAGTAACTTACTTTTATTGTAGAAAAATAATTAGGATTCTGCTCAAAAAAATTGTACCTAGGGATGCACCCGAGCGAAGCTTACCAAAGGTAAGTTGCTAGTGTTAAATATATAGGTATGTATCCATATAAATAAATAATGACTGAGTGTATTATACAAGTAGGTATAATATATAAGAATATCATTTAACACTAGTATTTACTTACGAATAAAAATCGAAAAGAAATAAATAAGAATTATATTATATTTTTCTTACATAACGCTTTAATTTATCATTTCCATTAGAATTTTAAAATGTCTATTTGTAAGCGGTTTTAAAATGTCATCTTGCAAAACCCGCTATTCTGATTAAACTGAGAACTTTACTTTTCAATAGATTTTATTTTGTACTAAAGTTAATTATCATTTCGCATTCGCTTATGAATTGTGCCGGAGCTTGAAGCAAGATTTATGCGATGGGTCACAGTGATCGATGAGCGGCGAACGGCCCCGTGCGACACCGACAACGGTCACTACCGTATGGACAATAAAACCTCCTACTCGAAATATAATTAATAAACTATTGACATGCACGTTTAGTGGTATAATTTATTTGTATAGACTCGATAATAAAATAACATTCTAAGCACCGAAACTCTATAAGAAAAAATTTCTCTATTCTCAACGAATCTCTAACAACAAATAATATTAAATCTGCAGTATTATTTAATCAATACGTATGTTAATAAATGTTAGCCGAAGCCATCGCTATTTCGCTAACCAAATATTTCCCGGAACATAAATTTGAATAAAACAAACCTTTTATTAATTCTTTTGAACATTCCTTTTATGACGTCATGGGCACGCACGTAAGGCAGACAGTGTGGGACCGATTCGTACATAGGCTGAGGCTATAGAATTCTTATTGTAATATTTATTTGGCACTTGTTGGGGTTATGAATGCCAAATAGGTAAGTTCCATGACCGTCCGCCTTCGCTTCGAATTGTTTATGCATATTACGAGGATGTTGCGATTTAGATGTGTGATAATACTGTGTAGTACCTAATAATTGAGGCATTTGCAAAACATCTGGGCAGATTAGATAGCGTGAGAGATTTTGAATTCAAATGTAAAGGAAATAAATTTTTAAGAGCCCTGTCCATGCTCGTGATTCATTGCTAGAACTTTAAATTCTTAAAATACGCTGGATTGTAATAGATTAAAAATACCAATTAAGTTTTTAACCAATATATTTTAATTCTTGCTGTAAATTCATTTGGATGCAAGGTTAAACTAACTGTAGTTAAATAAAGTATGACTTTGTTTGACTACCAATCAATATTTTCTTAAATTAATTTTAGTTGAACTTAAAGGTTTTTAATGAACCCTTAAAGTTCTATTCATGTCTTTTTTTCAGGAAGTTCGTGTTATTCTGTGAATTTACACTTTTCATAGAAACAAAAAATTATAATAATATATGAAAGGTGTAGGTTACGAAAACTTGCTTATTAGCTGTAGGTATGTATCGTAATGCCATCTATATACGAGTATTAAATTGAACAGAGGAGCGCCTGGATTGTGAGTCTAAATCTTTTGTTTTCAGTTTTATGGAGAATGTCCATGACGTAATTTACTGGAAATGTAAAATCTGTGAATGGCACCAATATAAGAAAGTATTATAGCGTACATATTTAACTGAAAACTCGACTTTTATACATAGAATCTACTTGTTATAATCTTTTATAATACAGTAAATTAGGTATTTTTGTTATAAATATTATGAGCCTATGTACCTAGCATAGGTACATACGATCTTTACTAGTAATGCGAAATGATTAGTATAAATAAATATATAATACATTTTAATATCAAAGAAACGTGTAGATATTTAATGAAATTAAAAAAATACATAAAACAAATGATATATCAGATATATTTAAACCTGAACAATAAAGCTTATCGCACACCCATCTTCACTATAAACTGCAAGTGGCGTTCGTACCGCTTGCTACTGAAACGGAGTTATTGTGTTATTTGCATTTTAGTTATTTCTTTATTATGTAAGGAATTAAATAATTATAATAAAGTTAACAATTTAAACTATTATCTCAGTATCTATTCTCAAAGTGTTATTACACAAGAGATTAAACAAAGTGAGTTATCTTGATTTCTTAATTAACAAGCACGTTCATTAATTGTTTATTATAAAATTGTCCAACATTTTCATTGTCTGATTTGAGTCTAAGCCCCTAATTTGTATTGTCAAAAGATTCCCACTTCAATTCTCATTCGTGTCAAGTGCATTTAGATAATTAGACTAACTATTCTATAATGATTATTATTGTTCTAACTCTATAATTTTTTTAATGCTTTTTGAAGTAATGTTGTCAAAATATTCTTTATTTCGTCAAGGTTTTTGTTTCATAATTGTCGGATTTCGTTACAAGTTTTATAATTGCCGCAATAATAAATCTAAATTAATTAGAGATTCATTAAAATTATAAATTACACGAATATTTTTTATATGAACTATTTTAAAATACGTTGGTACAAAAGTAGAATATTTATTCATATTTATATATATTACCATTATATTCATTTTAGTGATCCTAGTTTGAAAATATTAACGCGTTAAATTAACACCGAAAATGAAAATGAAAAAATTAATTGCTGTTATAAAAATGGTTTGTGAAATAATATTTTTTAAACCACAATTATATTAACAATATTAATAATTCTTTTATTTTGTTCAAACAAAGATAACATCCCGACGTTTCTCGGTTCAGTTCAACCCAAGCATTGTCTTGAATTTTTCCACAACGAAATTAAAAGTGAGAATTCAATCTCCAGCAAGCCGCCTTAACGGTATCACTATACAGTACACTGGCTTTATGTATTAAAACTACGTGAGTATCATTACATCCGGGTTTAAAAACCATGACTCAATGAGCTATTTAGAAATGTTTACAAAGTTGAGGCAAGTGAAATTTAAATATAAAAAGATTTGACAAAACATAAGCACAGACGTGTGACGCTACCACATATTCGAGTTCCAAGCGTAAAAAGCCTTAGAGTCCAGCGCTAGTCCATATGATTATATCATAATGTTTAGACATTACGTAATTTAGCGAACAAAAGGCAAATATTTTTAGTCGTTCGTCTTGTTTATGTCCGCGAGAAGGGTATTAAGGTAAATTGTACAATTGTGGGCACGGGCCACTCGTTAGCTCGGACGATCTGGCCGACGTGACGTCTCAGCAGCCATGTCGCATTGTTTCAGTTTTATGCGTGCCCAACCTTAGATTAAACGTTAACTGGAAGATTTATGGCGGTCATAGAGCGGCTAGTTTCGTGAACGCACAGATCTTTCGACGAAACGCTCAGGTTTCTTAAGAGCCCAATTTGTGGGAGCGCTTAATGCGCTGTCGTGCTCGCATGCATGCCACGCCTTTTTATTACTGCCCCTAACTGTAAACAACACCCATTCTGGGTTTGTGCTCCATCGTCTCTTGGACTTGTATTATTTAGATAAACAGAGATAAACTCACTTATTTTATAATGAAATCTGTTAACTTGGTTGGATGTCATTGTAAAATCGTTGAAAACTAGAAATTATATAAATTGAACTGAAGTAACAAATCAAATCGTTATTATATATGTATTTCATATTCGTAACATTGTTTTCATTGTTCCACTAGTTCATAATTGTTCTTTGGAATATGAATTAATTGTAAAAATCGATTAATTACCTGATAATTTATCAATATGATAGCCAATTCGACCGTTGCTCTTACTTTTCGACAGGCGGGTTTGATAATCGAAATCCATCTCGCTACATCGTATAAGAACTAAAGAAATTGGTCGGATTCTTACACTCACCAGTCTCCGCTTGGGCTTGATGAGAGGTCGGTTTTGGCCGTTCATCTTGTAGTAGAGTCCACAGGCATTGCATAGGTAGTGGCCGGTGCCGTCACGCCGCCACAGTGGCGTGCTTGTCGCTCCACAGTTCACGCACTCCCGACCCTCTGCACACATAACAATAGGTTATAAGTTATCCCGATCCAACTAAATTAACTAGAAAAATAAAAGTATAATATTTGCAAAGTATCAGTTAGGAGATTTTTTAGTTAACGACTTTTAACTGAAATTACAAAAGATGAAAGTTTTCTAGTCAAAGTATTAAGTGTTTAAAAATTCAATATGTAAAAAATTCCGAATCTATTTTATATTTAATTAGTTAATTATAAAAATTACTGGGCTAAGCAAAACAACAAATATAATATAAAGCAGTTAAAAATTGTAGAGACATGTATTTGGTCGGGTGATTTACCTGTCTCCTGGCAGGCTGGGAAAGACGAGAGAAAATCACATTCAGAAACATTACCAATCGAATTTCACTATATACTTAAGCATGCAAAGTAATACTAACTATACTAAAATATTCTAATTCTTACATTTATATAGCTATAATGCAATTACTAAGAAAAATATAAAATATTCGATTAACAAGGGAAAGCGAGCCAAGTTTCACTCGAAGAAAAATATCAAGATTTTTTACACGCAAGGAGAAGCAGAGAAAGTGACGTTATTCATTAGTAAAGCGAATACCCTATAATTACCATAAAATAAATAGTTAAACAAACTCTTGAAGAAAACTAAATGGAAGTATTATTAAACATTAAACGTCTAGAAACATTTCATCGACGTCACAATAAAAACATACACAAATAACGCACACGACATATAAACTCCATAAAATCAATAAAAAATCCATAAAAAGCTACTAGTAGTACTCGATATTGATAAAAACTTCTTATTATTCATTCATAGTGATGAACAAAAGCGAATTTCTTAAAAAAAAATGTTGCAAAAACATCAAAGAGCGATATACCAAACAGAGCGTATAGGAGCCATAAAATATTACCTACATGCTAATTTTCACTATGTGTAATTGTATTATATACATACAAGTTATAACAATTTCCAACGCAAGCATCTCAACCGTAAAATGCATCCGCCTAACTATAAAAACAATCATGAATTGACTATTTTATTTAAGTTGACTTTATAATAAGCAATTATTCTATAAACCTTTATTTAAAAGGTTAAAATTAAAAAAAAAACATGCTCTATTATAAAAACATGCAAATAAAATATTATATTTAACCCCAAGACCAGTAGCCCTCCAGGGAGACAATGACGTCTTTTACCAACCTAAATGGTATAAACATTATAAATATTTATACTACTTCGTTTATAAATCTGTCGAATTTAATAGTTATGTTATTCAAAATCTTTAGTTTAAGTAATAAGTCGTAACGAATATCGATTAGGTATATTTTTACGCAAAATTAAATTCACACGATTCGATTACTCTCAAAATGCTCTTATTAAGAGCATCCGTTCATCTGAAGAGAGCGATCCGCCCCTATTCTTTCTCTAAACTCGATTACCAAATCGATTATTTATCGAGATCGATTTAAAAATCCATTTAGTTATTCTATATCCTATCTTGTTTGTATATAAAAAAGCAGCAATTTACTTCCATATGTATTTATGTATGTATGTATGTATATGAATATATTTAGAAACTATTAAATAGTCACCACGTTTTATCAATTATAGTAGCCACATCCCGTTTGAGCAAATGTGTAAATTTCAATTTAAGCGTAAAAATTTATTGCTGCAAAGATTAGATATCTATATCATAATCGTATGTATCTAGATCTGATTATCCAAGTCCCTGGGTAGACGCCGCGGCGCATTGAATAAATAATGATTCTGGCGCAGAAATCTAACAAGAAAGGTGAAAGTGCTCGTATATCCGATAGAAAAAACTCCCCAACCCAACAACACGATCCCCAAGCTTAAGGCAGTATGGCCATTTATCTTTTTTTTATGTTAAACCAGATCACAACCGGCAATTAAATCGCCCGGACCTTATCGAAAACTTATTGCGATCGAACCGACAACTCACTTTTTGGACTAACCCTTTATTTTTTATCCGTCGATAAAGCCTGTAATTTGTTCCGAGATTTCTAATAAATAAACACCAATAACGATTATTATGAAAAAATAACAGGATATTATAAGTAACGTGAAGTTTTATGGTCGTGTCTCTCACACGAAGACCGATCAAATTCAATAGTAACATCTCTATTGATAAAATATTTGTGAAAGTCAGTGCTGCCGCGGGCGTTGGAGTGAGATTTACAGCCGCATGCGCCATCGATACACCGAAATCACACGTATTATTTAAGATTCACAATTTTGATTAATTGCTTTTGAGTAAAATCGTTAGATCCTTTAAAAGAGGACTCTAAACTGTCGCTACGTCTCTTTGAGATTCTCTCAGCTCATATACTCTTTGAGACGTTTGTTACCTTATTCCTGTTCTCGTTTTGACTATCGAATGATCTAAAGTTTGCCGCTCACTCAGTGGACGTGATTCTGACGTGAAATAAAGATACCATTTAGTGCGCACGTAACGGTGCCTGTCCAGCTAGAGATAAACCTATCCTGAACAACTGCAGAAGTTGAGGCGAAAAATTCCAGTGTTTGCTCAAAATTAGAATGCGGCTCGCTCTTTATTGCCCGGAGTGACGTGCGGTCGTGACGCGGCGACGCTACGTGACCGCGATAAAAGATTTTCATCTGCCATATTTACGTAGGCGAGTGGGCGGTTTTTATTTTTCGAGAGTCTCCAAGCGAGCGCACTTCGACGTCAAGGAGATCGAGCAGTTTTCACACGCCCTCTAACGCTGGGAAAATATTCCACTGTAAGCCGCGTAGGACCGCTGATTATGCGAAAACTAAACCGACCCATCCACCCTAGAGCTACCGATGCGTTCAAAATAAATGAAGATAGCCCGTTACTCCTCAATGAAACCGCGCCGTAAAAACTGGTACATAGTCACGTATAGCGCTTATACAGAGCGGGGTAATGTAATTTAAATGAAGGACTAATTTGCTCCCGTCTACCGTGACGCACTCTCTCGGCGCATCGGCCCATCAACACGTAACGGTGTGGCTATTTTGCATACAAACCATTAAATTATTGCTTAAAAGTTATTCTTTGTTGCGCCACAGAGGCTGTTATTATGCCTTAATTGTACGTCTACATGCAAATAGAAAATTGTATAGATTCTGATAAAATTGTTTTATTTTATTTAATTTTACTAGCATTCTTTTTGGTTCGGTACATGATTTCGATTAAATATGTGTGGTTTATGAAACTAAAGTATGCGAAGTATGAAATGAAGTCATTTTTCACAGCTAATGCTGCAGCATATTTGCATTGGATATTATCATACGGCCAGATAATTACGTGTGACGCCAATGCAACGAGCGGTTGCACCGAACCCTGTATAATTATACATCGGGGATATCACGCCGGCTTAATAAGACGGCTGATCGTGCCCGCGAGATCTTATTCTAGTAAAAAGAAATTATGAACGCTATTTGGATTTACGTATAATGATGTACAATATATTTAAATCTAAATAATGAACAATAATTGTGATCTAAACATCTAAATATTAAAAATATGTTTTATATACATTAAATATATACGTACAGGTCTCATAGAACGGCAATAGAGGCTACACCGATTTTGTGTCGACACAGCCCAATTTAAATTAAGGTTTAAAATCTAAGACTATTCTGTAATATAATAAATATATGTATGTTTGTCTTTGTATGTTATATTGTTTAGTGTTATATGTGTCTTTATTGTTCAATAAATATTATTATTATAAACAGTATATGCTAAGTTAACTATGCATAAATACAAAACAAATTTAGCGGTCGGCAAGTACACTTTTATAATGAATTAATCACTGAAGTTCCGCCGAAGTCATATGCAAATTTCGAGTGTTGCAATTGTATCCCACAGTGTAATACTATATCAGCGGACCATGACGACCACTATATTGTTACCTTCATATTGTTAGACGAGAATATTTAACACAAAAATATCCATTAGAGGTTCGCTTTTAAATACTACGGTAGCGGATCTCTTTGTACTTTTTAAAAACTATCAAAACTATTAATTATACATAAAATTATCTCATTTGAGGCCTTTAACCTCAAATTAAATATTTTATATTCCGTACTAGAGTAATCATTTGCTTTCCTGTTATGTTAATATGATATTCTAAGTACAAAAATAAATTATACATCAGGCTTTAAACCAATTACTTATTATTTATTATAACCGTAATTAGTACATAGGAATAAGAAATTTTCAGTTTCATGTAATTTAATGATGTCGAAATTAAATTTTGAAACATTAATTTTTATCCACTTATTGCTACCTAACATTATGCAAATATCCATTTAAATACTATTATAGTTTAGCTCTAGCATAAAAGAATTGCAAACAATAAAAATAATAACTCACTATGAGTCGTCCCTCTTAACCGGCGGCTTCATTCCTCTTAACCGGCGGTCCGTGGCGTACAATCACACACGACTAGAAAACCTTCTTAATTTCTTCATTCTATTTTAGCATTTAACACTATAATATAGAGCCTATAATTATGTACGCAATTTAGACATTAAGTTGTAATTTTTTCGTTATATGTATGACTTCGCTAATTGGTTGCACAACTTTCTGCGAAACATCTCTGTTGCTGTAACTCTACGTGAGTTGCACAGAAACGGTCCTGTAATATCAAATGAACGTAGTTATGCAAAATGGATCCAGCCCATGAAAACCATTTTTTGATTTACTGTCATAAATGGCACCTACATATCAACTTATACCTAAAAGTAGATGAAATGCCCAATATTTAAGATTAATTTTAAAAAAACTACGGTCTTTTTATTTTGATATACCAATTTTAATAAAATTTCGGTTTTTTTAAAAGTAAGTGTTTGTGGTTGGATCTCTTTTGCATAACTACGTCCAAATGTAGTTCGGATAAGATGCAACCAATTATGATTCATAAGACCTTTCATTAAGAGCTAAAGCCTAAAAATGGAATGTACTGAAGGTACGTTGCATTTGAATTATCGTTGAAAC